CCCCTCCCCTCCCAGAAAAAAAAAAAAAGAACTGGGCTTTTTGTTTTGTTAGAACTTAGAAGTATACCAAACGCACTGTTTGCTGGGCTTTTTTGCTGCCAAAGAAGCCGAAAGGAGAAAAAAGGCCCAGCCCACATAGTGAAAATACAAGAAAACAAAAAATAAAAAGCCTCTCATGGCCTCTTATATGATGTGATAAATTGATAAGTTGATAATACAATCACAACGAGCAAGAGTAGAGGTAAAGAGTACCACTTGTAGGCTGTTAACTAGGGTTTTTACCACCCCATATCACACAATTTGCCTAAATTAGAAATTCCAAAATGGCTGCCAGCCCCACCCACACCCACGTCAAGTATTGTATGCTCATTTTTGTGGTAGTAGCTAGCTAATAGGGAAGAGAAAGTGATAAGAAAAGGAGGTCGGGGTTGAGAATATGAGGTCCATATGACACCCCTTACAATCTCCGGATAAGGGAAGAATCTAGAGCGCCTAATCCTATTGGACGCCTTCTGCGGCCTGCCTTTGACATCGCACAAATCCATATTCCAATTTCCCCTCATCGTCATTCCGTCAACCCCTGAAACCGGCTATCTCTGATCTCTTGCTGAGTTGAGTTCTCTCCCTGTGGGACAACAAGCAACAACAGCAGCATCAATGGCAGCAACCATGGCTACGATGGCTTTGCTCAACGCCAAATGCTTGAGCCTCAAGTCACCTAACAATCTTAACCCCTCCAAGCCATCTGTAAAGCCCCTCTCCCTCCTTTCCCTCCAAAACCTCCCCAAAGGTCTCACCACCTTCAAATCCTCGGACAGTTTAAACTTGTCATCTTCCCTAGCTGGGACTGCCATTGCTGGTGCAATCTTCTCCACATTGAGTTCTTGTGATGCGGCCTTGGCAGCTCAACAAATTGCAGAGATCGCTGAAGGCGATAACCGTGGCCTTGCACTCCTACTACCCATAATCCCTGCGATTGCTTGGGTGCTCTTCAACATTCTTCAACCAGCACTCAACCAAATCAACAGAATGAGGAGCTCCAAGGGGATTCTAGTAGGGCTTGGGGTTGGAGGGTTGGCTGCGTCAAGATTTGTGTCTCCGCCAAGTGCATCGGCTAGTGAAATTGCCATGATTGCCGATGCCTCGTCCAGCGACAACCGAGGTACACTTGTATTGATTGTCGTTGCTCCTGCTATTCTTTGGGTCCTCTACAACATTCTTCAACCGGCTTTGAACCAGATCAACAGGATGAGGTCACAGTAAGAACAAGGGTCATCATGATCAGATGGGATGGGTGGCTGAAAGGTGGTTACACCTGTTCTTGACTCCTTGTGTATGATTTCCCTTTCCTTTTTCTTTCTTTTGGAATTGTTGTATGGAGTTTACTCATCTAGTAAATGGGTTGTATCGCTATAGGATTCATGTATATCATAGCCCAAGGTGAGACTAATATATATGGTTTCTGTATCTACATCTTTTTGTTGCTCGGTTACATGAATTCAGACGACTAGAGTGGAATAAATATTGGCGATTATAGTTTGTTAGTTGCAGGTATACATGCATTCATTCTTTCTTATAGCTAGAATCATGTTCCATTTCAAGTTATAAACTTTCTGCGTTTGATAGCTCTAGCTATGACCATTAATTAGTTAATTAATTGGTTTCTTCATTGTCGTGATCAAACAGAAAAAACGAAGAAAGTCGAAGCGCATTTGAAGAGAACTTTGGATTTTAATAACCATAAAATAAAATGGAGTTGATGCTATAGGACTGGACTGCAAACTATTTGTTCATGGATTGTTTGAATCAGGACATAATATAGTTCACTAAAAAATCATCTTACAGACTCCAAATCTTAGATTAAAAGAAAGAGGAGCGAAAGAATTAAATAAAGACAAACACGATCGTAAAGTGATGATGAACACAAAGAATGATGGAAATTATTAAAAAGAAGGCAGCTAGGGGTGTGGAGTTATAGTAAGCATGAAAAAGCTAGCTAAGAGATCATTCCATCCCCATCTGCAACTGCAACGACTGATCAGGAGGTGCTAGATTTTCCTTGTAGTTGGTGGGGATCATGATCTGATCATCGGTGACAATTCAGTTGAGAATTGCTCTGCCATGTTACATATTTATTCACTCTGACCCAATGCCCAAATCATTAACAAACCTAGCTAATTTGCATTTACGATCTCCTGTATGTCAGTTTCTGGATTTTCTCACTGATTCAATTCAGTAACAAACCCAACGCTTCATTACTAGGTGGAAGGAAAGCAAATAGGCGCAGATGAGATGTCATTGCAAGTTATGGCCACGTACTGGCATCAGCTCAATGCAATCAACTCTCATATGATTATGTTCCATGGTTTCTCATACCCCCAGCTTCTCATCTTTCATATCCCATTTTTGTATTTAGTTAAAACCTATGGTCCATTAACTGCATCATGAAATCTGAATTAGTGATATATGATAAAAATATACCTCTTGTTAAATTCTTTGTTAGGGAATAAGATAAAAGTTGTCAAGATATATAGAATTGAAGTTTAGTGATAAGATTGAGATGTAGTATGGAGTTTGAATTGAATTAGGATAGAGTTTCAAATGCAAGAGTATCTTTATCTTTCTCTATTTAAGTTGTAACCTGGTTTATCAATAGTAATCCAATTTATTCTCATTCTATTAGATAGGGGGTGCAAGTTGGGCAGGTTGGGCTGGGTTTATGGTCAATTCAGGCCCGACCCTAAAATTTAGGCTTAAAGCTCAAGCCTAGAACGAGTCTGAGGTCAAACCCGATCTTTCCAACCCGACCCCAACCCACACTGTAATTTATACATTCGGGTTGGGCTCGGGTCCAGGCCGGGCTCAGATTGGTCAATGAACCTGCTTTAAAATTATATATATATATGTATGTATGGGCTGGGCACGGGCTACCTAAGGGTTAGGCCTAGGCCCAACCCAAAAAGTAAAAAGCCTGACTTCTTGGGCCCAAACTCAGCTTGAAGAATGAAAATCCAAGCCCAACCTATGTAAAATTTTGGGTTGGATTGGTTTGGGCTCGGGCTGGGCCCGCCCAAGTTGTACTCCTAGTATTAGAACCTAAGGCTGTGTTTGGTTGCAATGCAAAACCATGGCAGTGCAAATGCTTTGAGTGTAAATTATAACCTATTTTTATTCAAAGTTTAACTTATTTTGTTTGGTTGCAGTAAGAATGTAAAATGTAGTAAATTAAGACATGAAACAGAATAAAGTAAAATCCAAAACAAAATTAAATGGTGATTTGCATTTTTTACATTTGCACTCCCATGCAATTGTAATAGTGCAAATAAAATTGCACTGCAACCAAAATCAAACTAAAGGCCGAGTAATCCTTCTTACCTACGAATTGAAGACCTACAAGAAATACGAAACTCAAAAGGGAAAAAAGCCCGATCGAACCCATATCTCACAGTCACAGGAAACAAAACCATCAAAGCATCCAAAGTCTAACCATCGTTGAGAGTCCTGCCCTACCTCTTGACTCTTGAGAGCATAAACGATGTCTATGGCCGTAACGGTATATTGGAAAGCATGCTTAATTAGTGTAGTAACGGCATCATGGATATGTTCTTTGGGAAGATCTTTAGGACACCACGAGTCTTATCGTAGATCAGACTGCTGATACACTTGACCTCACAACATCTTGGCAATCGTCGGATGACAGGCTTGGTGATGCCCTGAATGTAATCCATGCCTCTTGGTTGCTTCCTTTCTCAGTCCTTTCCCTATCTTGGTTGCCTCTTGGTGATGCCCGGAATGTAATCCATCATGGATATGTCCTCTCTCTCTCTCTTCTTTTTATTGCTGCCTGTAATACCAGCATAGGGTGATGAACCATGAGTTGCAATGTGAATTAGGCCTGTTAGGATAGACTTTTATAAAGTCGTCCTTTCGTATCTAATATAAAGATATAAAAAAAAACAGATATAATGTTTGCTTCATGTATTTTATATTTTTTTAAACTATGGTTTTCAAAATTGGACCGGACTGGATGGTCGGACCGGAAAACCAGGAATTGGTCAAGTGATCGGTTCTGTTTTTCCCTAAAATTGGATTTTTGTCAAAAAATATTGATTTGGTCGGCAGCTTTCTGATCATTCGAACTGTTCAACGGTTTTGACCATTATTTATTTATTTATTATTTTTTCTATCAGAATGGTCCGACCGGGAACTGGACTCCTGACCAGTTTGTTGTCCGGATTGGTGTTGAAAACCTTGTGAAAAACATCAAAAGTATGAAATTGGCTTTTTATACTTCGTGCATTTTGCAAATAATACTTCTGTTTTGTCTAAGCGGCGGGTCACATGTGACCACCCTTTTATAAAACTCTTGATCCTACCTCTGCTCACCAGTGCTAGAGTTGGACCATTGTTGCTAGTCTTAGACTATGAAACCACCAGAAACCATCATCGGAAGCATGAATGGACTTGCTGTACTTCTATTTTGGAAAGCATACTTCTCAAGGACCACACTTAATAACAAGGTAGTGGATTGTGCTTATCCACATTTAAGCTCAATGGGCTTTTGTTTGAGCAGCTTTGTTAAAGAATAACCTAGAAACCATGTGCTTGCTTTTATCTTTCCTTCATTGCCCTTGCCCATATATTATTTGTGCACGTCATGAGTCTCCAAATTTGCTTACTAAATAAGGCTTTATTCATCTGTAGACTGTCTTAGCCCCATACCACCCACTTGCTTTGGCAAACATAATTTTCTCCAGGCTATTGTCTATGAAGCTTTTCTCTTTGTTATGTGCCACCAATAGTTTCTAATAAGTCTTTCAAGCTCCTTGTGGGTCTGTTTGGGAAGAACGGTGGTTAAACTTTTGAAATAATGAAACCTAGATGGGCTTTGGTTTCTGGCCCAATCCATTTTATTTCAATCAAAACAAATGAATATTTTATTTTGAAGTAAAATTATTGAACTGAGTAAATTTTTACCTTGTCCAGCTTTTCATGGATTTAGTTGATTGTTTGTTTAACATGRTTAGCAGGAGAAGTACAACCTTCTACTTCTTCCTTCAAAAAAATCATATCTAATAATACAA